GAAGCTGTATTTCACTGAGATGTGTACATAAATTAATTTCTTTATATTTGTATTTCATTGAGATATATACAGGAGTTAATTCCTTTATATTTTTGGTTATCCGAATTTTAATTTTCTTGTTCACTGCTGTATTTGTGGAGCCTAGCACAGTGCCAGATAACAAGATAGACCTTATAAACATTTGTTGAATAAGTAAATTAATGAGTGTTAGGTTGAGTTCTGGACCTTCTAAAACTTAACAGTAACTAGATTTGGGTTCAAAATTATTCTTTTAAAATTTTTAAATTTTTAATATGCTTTAAAATGTTTGAAAATGTGCTTTAAATCAAGACTTCAGAAGACTGACTGCTTGTGTAAGGGTTAGGAATGAGGAGCTATTGCTGTTTTAAACACATGCTTGTGGATGCCCACTAGGTCTCTTAAAACTTGTCTGTTCTCCGGAGTGGTGTGACTAATGTTTAGTTCCACATGCTCAGCCTTCAGAGTGAAGACTTGAGTCAAACTCTTTTGATTTGAACCTTGGTTCTGCTGTCCACTAACTCCATGACCTGGGGCTAGTTATTTCTCCTCTTTTTGTCGGCTCCTTCAGGATGATAACTTAGCAAGCCTCATAGAATTGTTGTGATGAGTACACTAATATCAATAAAGTGCTTGGAGCAGTTCTGGGTACCTAATCAGTACTTGTTAAGTAAAACCAATCGGTGAAATACATCTAACAATAGTACCCACCTTATGCAATAGTTGTGAAAATTAAATGAAGTATTTAATTTTCATTAAATTAAATATTCCTGGTAAATGCTCAATGAATTTTCAATGATTATTCATCGTGAAGGTATCATATCTATCTTCAAAGATTTCCAAAGTAAGCACACATAAAACCAGAGAACAACTAAATGATGTGCTAAATGCTGTGAATTATAATAAGACCTAGACAGTAGAAGAAAGGAGGCATCCTTGTCGTGGAATGTTAGATGATCACTGGTGACAAAAGTTAAAGTGAGACAAGAAGAACTTAGAGGAAGGAGAGTTTTCCAGGCAGGAATGGAAGTAGCCTGTGGCCCAGAAGGCTGAGAAGTGTGGAGGAAAAAGGTGGGCTGAAAATGTGGGGGGCAGGGAGTAAGAGGTAATGGGGGTGGTAGGCTGGGAGAGGGGCAGCACTGGGGAGTCAGGTGGTGGTGGGCAGTGGGCTGTATGAAGTGCCTTCTCTTCTCCTACAGCTTGTCTTGGCAGGAATTGTCTCCCTGCCCCAAGCACAAGTTTTCCTGGCATGCACACTTAAGATCCCTTTCGTTCTTGCTTTATGCCCTCTGGGCCCCAAATTTAGGTACTACACAGCTTCCCTGACACTGTCTTAGCCATTTCTTCTGGAGAATGGCTGTGTCCCTCTGTAAAGTTTTTCCTAAGAGGAAATGAGTGGGGAGGAAAAAGCTCCAGCTGCCCTATATTCTTTCAGCAGGCGTTTTATGGCCACTGGAACGTGAGTTCTCATGTGTGCCTAGCTTCCTCTCTCACATTTTCTTTGGAATAAGAATGAGTTATCATTTAACAAATGACAATGGTATTGGACTGGATTCTACCAGTGATCTAAACCTCCTAAAAACCTCTAGGTGTAGAAATCCTCTTTGAACTGCTACTCTAGCCTTCCTATAAAAGATGCATCTCAGGGCTCCTCAGGATACACATCTTATCCTTAGCATTTTAAAATTTAGACTGGCCTCAGTGGCCTAGTGTACAGTGAACTAGTTTTCAGTTTTTTCAGGCTATGAGCTTGATGTTCTTTCCTTTTCGTTTGGAACACTGGTGAGTCAGGAACGATCACTTTGGTTACCTATAATTGTTATTCATAGGTTTGTGAAAAGAAATAATCCTAAAGGAGCTGGCATTTTGGAAGATACCTGTATATATGCATATAAGGGTTGTAGTCATGGAGCATAGGGCATTGACTACTACATTTGCTGCCTGACGTGGGAATATCGTGTATGAAACTTTATAGAAGAGTTTCTCCAAAAAAGTTTAAAAGAGTATAAAAGAGTCTCTCCAAAGAAATTAAGAAATTCCTTTCAAAAAGGCTATAGTAGTTTTAAAGAGTAAATGAAAAGAGATAAAGTTATAACAGCATAGTTGAGCTTAATGAGTGCTAATAATAACATATTAGAGTGATATTTATAAAAAGTTTTGCACAAGAATTTAAAACTTGTTTTAGGTAATCTTCAGGGATAGCTGTTTTTCTTATTCTGTTTTAGAGTTACTTAACATTTTTGATGACTTACTAACTCTCCACACCTCCCAGTGACTTCTGGGAATTCAGAGACCAGTATCTGTATAAACAAGGTGTGTCAGAAGGTGGCATCTACCAAGCCATGACTATGGGCCAACTTAGTTATGTTAACTCACGCAAATTTACCACAGTCCCTTGCAGTCTTGTAAATAAGGAAGCAGGGCTCAGAGAGTAGGTTAAGTGAGTGCCCACATTCGTACATGAGCTATGAGGGTAACACTGGACCTCAAGCCCCGATCTCCTGAGCAGTCCATAACATTGTTTCATTTGTAGTGACTTCCTGGTCACATTCTCTTGTGACCATAATAGTCAGTCATGAGCTAATTCCATAATAGTCATGAGCTTTCAAAATCAGTTTTACTTGGCTCTTTAACGCACATCCAAGAAATGAAAATTGAACTAAGGAGAAATTACTTCTTTCAAAGAACAACTCAACATCTTATACTAATATGTCATAAAATGACTTTTGCCATCAAGTTAGTTTGAGGAATACAGAATTAAGACCAGCTTGCCAGGTTTCTGAGCACAGGACTTCTTTGGGTCTTCAGTACAATAATGTACACTCTGAAACTCTAAGGGAAGGGTGTTACATACATTCTTTCACAAGCTATTCATGTGCTGTGTGTGCATGTGTTCACTCATCTTTTTATTCTGGTAGAACACTTCAAGGGGTTCATTTTCCATGAAATTGTCTGTTGGTAGCATGTAATTGGTGTGTATTGGTAGTGTGTGACATGGGCAAACCATGTTACCTCTTTTGGCAAGTTTTCCATTCTCCAGATTGGACTAAAGATACTCCAAAGGTCTCTTTAGCTTTAAAGTGCTTTGACATGGAATCCCCAAATTGAGGAGTATATGGTACTACAAGAACTTGCTAATGACAGACAATGGTTTTCTGAAAACCATTCATTCATGGAACGTTGAGCGATTGCCAAATACTATGCTAGATTCTGAGGCTATAAAGACAAGATACATATAAGGTGACAAGTAAGACATTATCTGCCCTCTGGATGAGAAATACATACAAACTGATTGTTTTAAAAAATATAGTGAGAGCAGTAGAAATATGCATAGATAATACTCACAAGAACTGATGCTTATAAGAAAGAAAAACTCAGTAAGAGAGAAGTGGAAACATAAGCAATAAAGACTCATTACTGCCTCCTCTAGGTGGGAGTTAAAGCCTTCCGGAGGAAAGACTGTAAGTCTGGTTTCAAGGAATGGGTAGGCATCAGATGAAAGGAAGGTGCTCCAGGCAGATGGGAACACAAGAACAAAAAGAGTATAGAGGGTTGAAGCAGGACAGTGTGTACAGTGTTCAATAAGGGATTAGCATTGCTCCATTAGAAAGTCCAAGGCAGGAAGGCCAAAACACAGTGTAGTAGCAGGCAGGGCTACTACAGTCATTGAGAGTCTTCTCTGCAGATGCTTGAACTTTATTAGACAGTATGATGGGCAGCCAGCGGGAGATGCACGCAGGGAAGTGACCCATTCACAGATGCACCTTATACAGCTATAGAGCAAATGGACACTGAGAGAGAAAAGAGAGGTAAGGAGATAAGGTGGGAAGTGTTTGGTGATGTTCAAAGGATAGATACAAGCACCTCAACCAAGAGAATAGGAACCTGGAGGAAAGGGTAGATTTGATAAACATTTAGCATTCAGTAGATATAACCTGCTGAATGTGGTGACTAAATGAGGCAGGCAGAGGAGAGATCATGACCTATTTCTTTGGATGATTTAGTGAATAGCATCAGTATGAGGTGCGACTTTATGAAGAAAAACGGTATGATATGGTATGATTATGGTTTTGGATCTGCAACATATAGGGCCTTTCTAAGACATTTGTCAATATCTTAAAATCTGGAGTTGTTATATCATAACCTCTTCCTGTGCATCAGACTCAAATGGAGGTTTCATTTTGTGGAAAGGACTCACATTTAAGGGCCACTTCATATTGCCCTTATTTGATTTAGGCTGTTGGAATACTGCAAATAAACTGCATTATTATTATTATTATTCGTGGTTCTGAGGATTGGACCCAGAGTCTTATGCATACTATACAAGTGGCATTTTATTTTTAATATAAATATTCAAAAATATAAATAAGTTCAGTTTAATTTTATTTAACCGTAGTATTACGAGGCAGACAACAGACTGTGTTTACACTTGCTGGCTTAAGTCTAATTGAAATAGGAGTATTTATTGTTGAAAGAAAACAAACCCACAACAACTAGCTTACCAATTGTTATACCAGAACAAAAATATCATTTAAAATAGCCTTCTTCTCTCCAAATCATTACAATTGATTTGGTGAATTAAAAAGATTTTAAATACTTCTCAACTTCATACATGCCAGGTGTTCAAAGCTCTGCAATGCCTCAAACCAAGAAATTCACCCTCATTTTCCCAGTTCTTCGAGTGAACTGAACCATTTTCTAAGTGGCTTTTCTCATTTCTTTCTCAATACACTACTTCCAGTTGAATAGATTCTCTAAGGACCTTTTGTAAGGGTTAGAAATATGGGACACATAAGAATTGGCCCAATTACTTATGGGAGACTTATGGGAGGTTTATATAAGCATGAGCCACAGTTTAATTTTGCAGCTCTATCAGCAAATGGGTCTAGATGTAAGGAAAGCAGGTGATGGGAGACTTATGAGAGAAGCAAGTAAGGAAGGATGAAGAGTGAAAATAAAAGCAAGAGAAAAAAATCTCTTACCGGGTTCTTGTTGTATTTTGTGGTTGTTTTTAAACCAAGTTATCTGAGGTTCTGGAACACCGCTAGCATGACAGTCTAAAGTAGTAGAGCCGCCGATGGCCACCGTGTGATCACTGAGGTTTTGCAGGAGGCGTGGTGCTTCCTGATCTGGTGAAGAAAGAAAGGGAGTTGTGATTACTTGTCAGTTTTACTTTTTTGTCTAGGCATGTCAACATTTTAAATATTTATATATAAGCAGCAAAACTTGACCAAGGGTTTCATTTGCATTTTATTCCCTAACTTGCTCTTCAGTTGTTAACCTGCTCCCCCTTTATATAAGATACTACAATAATTGAGATGCCATACTAGACTGTACTAGAATGCTGTAAAATCAAGGACTAGATTCTATATTTTTCGATTTTAATACAAAGGTTTTCGCCTGGCCAATAGTTTCCTTTCTTCTTTTACTTTCTTTTGAAGAGCTTTTATAAAACAAAGATTTTGTTTTATATTCTAGGAGGTATAAATTATATAGGCTTGTAATGAATGTTGACATTAATATATAGTGTAGTGATGGGGTAATATAATTTTATCATTTCTTTCTTTTCTCTCTTTTTTTTGTCTTTTTGCAGTGCTGGGATCAGACTTGCACGTTAGGCAAGCATTTACTCTACCACTGAATCACATACCCAGCCCACCTTCTTACGTATTTTTATTGATGTCTGTGAGGGTGTGTCTGTGTTACTCTGTAACCTCAATTGTAAGGCAGCAGACCAAACAGGAGAATTCTTGAATTTTGAAAGCTTTATTGATTGTTCCCTTCCTCCAAACCCTTCCCAAATGCAAGCAATCAAAGGATTAATTCAAGAGGCAGAGGCATGGATTTATAGGTTTTGCACTATATAATAGTACAAATACTGTATTTTATATTATTTTCTCTTAAAACATACAAATATAATACAATACAATTTATTTCAATAAAATGCCAACCAATATAGTACAACAAAATGAATTTAATACATTAAGATGCAATACATTACAACATTAAAATCCCACATAGGAACAGCAGTACCCCCAAAGCCCGCAATGAGTACAGTGATTCTATTTATTGAAGTAGTCAGTCAGTCCTGCTGATGTGTATACATTCTAGTTAGGTGGGTACTGGATTGGTAGCTCAGGCTTCCAATGTAAAAGAGTAAAACAACTCCTGTATCTTTCAACCCTCTCAAATTATCCCTTTTCCTTCTTGTTACAAAACCTGGCACAGAAATCAAGAGTTTTGGCATGCTACACATTCTGCATCACCGGTTTCATTTATATAGTACGCACTTTCTTTGACCATTTTTTATTCCTCATCTTAGTGTACTAACACTGTGAAATCAGCTTAGGAGTGATTGCAATGCTACAAAAGAGAATTCAGTGCAATGACTTTGATTCCATATCCCTCTAGGATTCTGTTGAGACCCAAAACCTTTCTCTTTATATTCCTGCAGGAAAACTCGCAGGATTAGCATTCCTTAAAGCCATTTAGATATCCCAGGTTAAAAAGTACATTATTATATAACTTTTATAACATGTTGAAGTAGTATAATGTGGCAGAGTTACTATCAGGAGAAACAGATTTCTCAATAAATTTTGATTTCCATAGTTTATTATTAGTCTTATTTTATATAAAATGAAATCTAAAGGCAAAAAAGTATTGAAAGAAGTGCTTTGATTTATAAAACCTTCTTCAAACATAGTGTGAACTGAATGACAGCAATAACCCTTGGACCTCGTTCAGAATCTCTGTTGCGTCCTACCTTCCCCTGTAGACAGGGCCATTACCAGATTTCTGGTTGGCATTCTGTGCAATCTGTCATACAGCTTTTCTTAATTGAAAACACAGCTCCACTTAAAGCCTTCAATTTATAACTTGTTTACACTTGCTCATTAGAGTTTTGACATTTTTAATGCTGTAAAGACTCCAAGCATATCAGTAAAACATGACTAGATGATAAAGAACAGTATCTTATCATTTCATATCCTCAACAGTGGCAAGCCAACTTTGATGTATCTTACTTAAAATGCAGACCCAGTTCACTCAGTTATATTCTTTTTTTTGGTACCGGAGATCGAACTCAGGACCCTTGCGCTTGCGAGGCAGGCGTTGGCACCACTGAGCTAAATCCCCAACCCACTCAGTTATATTCTTAATAGCTTCCTCCAGCACATTTTACTATTTCCAATGTGTTAAATATGATAAAATAATAATTATTGCATAGTCCTTATGAAAAGGAAGCTTGAATATAAAGACCCCCAACACCCAAATTATTTTCATATCTATAATCCAAAACATCAACATAGACAGGATTTGGACTTCCCTGACAGGTGTTCAGAAAACAATGCTTTATATAGAAGAGAACATTTTATTTTAACATAAATATCATGAAGGACTCCCAGAGGCCCTATTTGTACTACACAAACTTCAAACAAAAAGCAGCAAAAAAGCTGCTGAATAAACATGAAATTCTCAATTAAATACATGGTTCATATAAACATTCTGAAACATACAGTATTAGAATTTATTTCTGATAATGTTCTTCTATGTGGTGTCTTATTTTTGCCTACTTTTCAATGACTTCTTAACGCAGGGCATATTTTGTCAGTTTCCTACTTCATACACTGTGATGATCTATTTTGACATTTTAAGAACAGTATACTGAACCCACACATATTGGTGGGAGTAGACACTTGCTTTCTAAATTTCACAAGCATAGCTGGATCCCTTCAGAAAATCAGAATTAAGGGACTATTTCCATTGGTTGTAAGTAGCCAAAGATAGCTGCCTACCAAGTTCTTCTTTTCCTTTCCAGCATTTTGGCCCCAAAGATCTGTCAGATCCCATAAATACATAGTTCTTTTTCTTCATTTGAAGGGGGGGCTAAGGAACCAGCCTCATACCCCTGCTTCAGCAATTATTTACTTTAGGCTTTTTTTTCTTTCTCTTCTCCTCTCCTCCCTGTTATTCCTGTATCACCTCATATCCCAAAGAATAAAAAGCAAAACTCACCCAATAGTTTCTTTAAAAAAATTTTTAAAAAAGCTTCTGGAAGGGTTAATTACACAATAAACAATTGCTCTATGGAATTCTTAAAATCATCTCTTGGAATAGTAATATCCTCTCCTCCCCAGAAAAATTACAAGGGGAAGGAAATGGTAGGTTCTACATGTCCAATTCGTCATTTTTCTCATAAACCCCTAAATCATTCTATGTGCTATTTTAGCTTTTGTAAAATCCAGGGTCCCCAAGTTCTATGGCACTGAGGCATTGTTTCCTGAAGGAACACACTGACTTATAATGAACAAAGAAGTCAGGCCAAAGAGCCATAGGTAAAATTTCAAGATACAATTGATTATTCTTTCCTTTGGGCTGACAACTTCCAGGTTGCTAATTGTTTTCCAAGCATTTGGGGCTCCATAAAACTGGCATTCTGGGGAAATGCTATTGTTTACTCTTCCACACTTGACAAAAGCAATTCCCACGTGAAAGACAAGTTTAGCCATGGGACAGAGTCTGTTACCTAAAGGAGGAAACAGGCTGATGTGTTCCCAAGCTTGAAAAGTTGTCATTATTGTCACTGCCCAGCCACTGTGTTTCTCAGCCATGGCTATTTTGGTTATTCTAATTTTTTTCCTCTATAGTTCCTGCGAGGCACTTATAATGATCAATCATAAATGAAAATGGAACAATGCTTATTAAATTGATGAAAAAGTCACTTTCCCCTCAAACGCAACCTTAAGAGATTAGACTCTCTCTTGATTTAAAAAAAGAAGTGACATATATTTTAAGTGATTTTCATTCTACAGTTTTGCCATTTCTTAATCCCCATAAAAAAATCCTATTAACATTTGCATATGGGTAAAGTGGACTTTTTAAAGAGACAAGATTTTTAATTGACATTTAGAAAAACGCATTAGACCTCTGGTCACAGTAACCTTTATTTTCTTGACAAACGGATTGTGGACCACCTTTGAATGACATCATTTTAACATGATAAAGTTCTTTTGAAAATTAACCAGGGGGTACAAATATTAAAAATGAAGGTATAATGCACTTTTAGGTGCTGTCAGTGGCCATCCGGTGCAGCGAGGGCAGTGAGGAGAAGGGTGGAGAGTTGCTGGACTTAACCACTAATTACAGAGTTACCCGGAATTGGAGGAGAGGGGGAGTTGGGTGGGCTTGCATAATTCACGAAGAGACAAAGCTTTGTTCTTTTTGAATTACACCAATATCTCGCATCCCTGGGGCCCATTTTAGAAACTTCAGTTTAAGATCAATGTGCTTAATGTTAAAAAAAAAAAAAAAGGCATTTTCAAATAAATAAGCATTATAACTTGCTATCCAGGTGCTATTTACAAATCAAGAGCAGATGAAATTGTACAAAATAAAACCAGGCAGAAGTCCGACAGAGTCTCAAATTCAACTGTACTCATTCTGAGCTAGAAAATTAATTTATTCGTGTCCATCTTTGGCAGAAACCAGCCTTTATTTAAATTATTCAGTTTGTGCAGCTTCACAACTTAAAAATAAAAAGAGGTTGGCATCAAAGTGGAAGAAAAGGATCAGTCCCAAGTTGTTGTTTATCAGGCAGGAGAAGACAGCAAGAGCAAAACACACAGAGAAGGCAGTGCAGGGATCCTCCAAATCCAAACTTGCACCAAGTCGCCCTGGGGAGCAGACCCCCTCAGCCCGAACGGGGAGCCCCGAGCTGGCACTGGGGGTGTCTCATTATTACTCCTATCATCTCCGAACTCATTTTGGGAGGAACATCTCCTCTGAGCCTGAAAGTTAGCAACAGTGACAATAAATCAAGGTGATATGAGACAACTGTTACTTTTTAATGCGTCCTTTAATGTTTTACATTACTTTGTGTGGTACAATCATTCCTTGCGCTTTTAAATTTGGAAATCCGAGAGAAAACAGCCTTTTTGTTGCAGTGCTCACCTCTAATTATAACTTCTGTCTTCTGAAGGATTTCTTCCCCTGTGTATACGTTCCTGGCTCTGCAGGCATAGATGCCCGAATCTTCCAGAGATACGTTCTTGATGATAAGGTTAAGAGTAATGGAGTACTCGTGAGTGGTGGCCATTTTTTGCTTGCTGATACTGTGATGCATTGTTCTGTTATTAACTGTCCGCAGCAAAATCCAAGTAATGTCTCTGTATAAGAATTTGTTAACTGTGCAAGACAGTTTCAGGTCCTCTCCTTCTGTAGGCATTTTCTCCAAGCTAACATGAAACCCATTTGGCACATCTGTAAAATAAGAATGAAGAGCTTCAGAATAAGTCTCATAGTGAGATAGTCAGAGATCTGGATGTAAATTCAGCTTCAGGATTAAAAAGGGTATTTATCTTTTTGTCTTAGAGGAACAGATGAAACATCAGAGAGGAACCAGGCATGCTGATTTGACCAGCAGTGAGACAAGAAATGCAAAATGGGGAGTTATTATTTATGCTACCTTTTCATTATTTGCTCAGAGTTGCTCTTCACAGTGGAAATGGTCTTTTACCAAATTGAGATGATAAACTTGTTTCTCATTTGCTTTTTCACATACTGTCTTCCTACTGATAAATGGACATTTGATGTGAACAAAATAGTGAATTAAAAGCAATTAGAGTCAGGCATGGTGGTGCATGGCTATAATCCCAGCACTCAGGAGGCTGAGGCAGAAGGATTGCCGTGAGTTTGGGGCCAGCCTGGACTACATAGTGAGTTCAAGGCAAGCCTGAACTACGTAGTGGGACCCTGTCTCAAAAAAAAAAAAAAAAAAAAGCCATAGCAATTTGTATTAAAAACCAAAGATACCTGTATGGGCAGACATATCGAAGATAGCTCACAAATGAGCACGGAAAGTTGGAGGTACACGCTGGTCAGCACCACTTTACTCCTACCCTTTCCTAAGGAGAAGTAGCTGTTCCTCAGTCCCCCTCGCCTGAGGTTACAGAGTAGTTCCCTGCTCTTTGCTGACACAATGGGACAAAGGATCCAGGTTACTTGTTCAGCCTCCCTGTTATGGTGGTGATCCTACCCTACTTAGATGTAAGAGAGCAAAGATGGGCAGCCTGTCAGGGAGCACACCTGTAATCCACACATGCTGGAAGACTGAGGCAGGAGGATGAAAATTTGAGCCCAGCCAGAACAACTTAGTGACTAAGCAAGACCCTATCTCAAAAATTAAAAAATTAAAAAAAAATTTTTTTAAATAAAAATTTTTTAAAAGGGCTGTGCATGTAGCTCAATGTGAAAACTTCGGGTTCAATCCCCAAACCCACCCTCCAAAAAAAGCAAGTATTTCCTTGCAGATGAAGACAGCTAATGTAGAAGAGTTGTCAGATTCCAAAAATTACAAAGAATAATTTTTTTAAAAGTGAACTTTAGGACTGAGGGTGGAAGTGTACTCAGTGGTAAAGTGCTTGCCTAGCATGTGTGACACCCCGTGCTTGATCTCAGCACTGCAACATTAAAAAAAAAAAAATTAACCTTACTCTAAAAAACATTGAAAGCATTTTCTGAAGGTGACTGTGTCATTAAAAGTCATTTTGTCCAATGTCATTTCCAAGTCACCTTTCCATCTCTTAGGTGCCCTAGCAATAACCTGTGCATTCTTCTGCTCAAGCATTCCTACCAAGACCATCATTTAGCTTTGGGGCTGCAAGTTGCTTCGTGTCATCTTGGACCATTTCCCCAGAGAGTTTTAATCATTGGCCACTGGCCCTGAACTGACCTGCTTGCAAAACCCTCCTGTTGCTTGTTACTAGTGGTGTATCTATATTTGAGCAAAGAATTTCGGCCAACATTTCACAAAGTGCTTTGAAGATGAAAAGCACTATGTTATGCTATTATTATTATTATCCTTTGCACACAAAGCTATAAAGAAACCTTTAAACCTGAAGGGGACAATAGTCCCAAATTAGATATCATATCAACTCTTTCCTAGATCTCACTTTGCTTGTTTTTCTGATTTTTCTGGGCTTTGGCTTGATTATAAAGTGTCACGTCTGAAGAAATGCCAAAGTATTCATTTGAAAGCTGGGTGCGGGACTAACTGTGGCCTATGAAGCTGTCAGTGGATGAGGAGAGAGACCACTGGAGGTTTTTCTGCTTCAAAATGAAAATCTAAGAATGTGCTACAAGATGCAGGAGTAGTTGACAGTTATTTTTTAACCTAAAAGTGAGGTGTTAGAAATAGCTATTCTAACTCAGCATCTTTTTACATTTTGGGCATTTTCCAAATATGAGGAGTAAAATGTTAGCCATCAGCTTTTACACGGATAGTAGAGCAGAGGTCCTGGGCACTGGTTGCAGTCAGATAGCTTCTAACAAGACCACAAACTTTCCACACATGAGGTCCCATCCTGCTTGTCAGAACCCAAGGGAGCCCAGTAACACCATTGAGATCATGTAGAGAGCTTCTGTTTACTTTAGTGATTTGAAACTTCCTGTGGAAATAGCTCACAGGTTTCCTGATGGAAGATTTTGTTTATCTTTGCCAAGCACCACCAGGAATCTCAAAATAAATTGCATTTAGTGACATTGGGAAAGCAGGGAGATAAGGCAGTGCTGTTCCTGTCTCACCCTCCATAATTGCTCACACGCCTATGGTCATGCCTAATGCCAGCAAAACTCCCAAACACACTCATAGGAAAGGACAAGGACCAAATCAATTTTGAAGTCTGTTCCTTGTAGGGTAATCACAGTTACTGAAGTTAATTTGGCTTAAGTCATCAGACAGCCTCTTAGACAGGATTATCTATTTCTTGATGTAACCCCTTTGGCATTCTCTTTTGATCCACGGAAGATGATAAATAGAATGTCCTCAACTACTTAATGAACCCAGAGGGATTTCCCCTTAATTCATGTTGAATTTTTTTTTGCCTGAGTATAAAAACAGACCCAAGAAAGAATTGCCTTCTAGACCTCCAAGTGAAAACAAGAAATCTTCCCACACGTCAGTATCTGTTTCAGATTCAACAGTCTTCTTCATCATTCATCATCCATTTAACACATGCCATACCCATAAAGTCTTATGAGGTGTCACAGAGAAGAATCAACCCTTGCTCAGAAGAGACATCCAATCTATGGTTAGGTGAAAGACTAATCTGTTTATAAAGGTGAAAGTGTGGTAGTAAACACTTTGACATGATTGGATTAGGCGTGTAGATTACATTCATTAAAGAGACAAGCATAGATATGTAAAAAGATGAAAGAGGTCTCATTTATCAGATAGAAATATAGAAGTTTTACTTACACTGGAGAATGGAAATAACATTGTCTGAAAAGAAAGTGAACCGTTCCTAGCAAGCTTTTACTTGTTTCAAGTGGATCCCATGTGCAAACAAGTGAGTGCTAAGGTTTGGAGGTGAAGCTGTCAAAAACGGGAATGGCCACAGATAACTAGTTTTATCAGTTTGGAAGGCAAAGTATTTGTATTTTAATAAAGGGGCAACACAATTGAAATGAAGAATAAAGATCTCTACAGCATTAAAATTTTAGGTAGCCACCTTTAAAGCATTACTCTCACCCAGTAAAATATTATGTAAATACTGAACAAATGTACATTTGTTTTAGAAAAATAGCTATGTAAGGTGCAGCATATTAGTATTTGGTCTCATTTGTAGTGAAAATAAATCTTCTGACAAAAATTTGAGTAAGAAAAAGATAATCACTAGCTAAAAATAAATAATGAATGTAAGCCAGTTAATCTATCACCAATCCAAACTAGAATTTTTCAAGATTGGCTGGAATGAATTATTTGAAGAAAGCTTATTCTAAGCAGAGGGCTGGATTTGTTGAACTTGTGCTCAGTTTTAACATTAAAACCCTTGTATTTCTAAAGCAAAAATGTTCTTAGTTTCCAGTAGGAACATTTGAAGGAAGTGTGAATGCTGCTGCTCTTTACTCTTAGCAATCCTCTTCCGGTACTGAGCCAGACCACACACGGCAAGACAGGCTTCGATGGCTCTGTCCTGGCCACAGTCCTCCTTATCATGTGACGAGTCTATGGCACCAAGCAGATATGCCCACCCAGAGTCTGTGTCACCCCATTCCTGTATCATGCCCTGGGTCCTTGGGATTCCAAAATTCCCCAAAAAAGATGATCCCCAGGTTTGTTTCCAGGTTGACTCAGGACTCTTCCTCTTCCTGAGATCTAGCTTCCTGAGAGCAGACTGCTTGTCAGTGTGCACAGCTCTGGGACTACCTGAGAAGTGGCCAACAGAAGACTCTATGAGGGGCAGGAGCAGGGGAGACCACACCTGTAGACGGATGCGTGGTCCCTGGCAGTGTGGGCCAGAGTAAGGAGTGCAAAGTGGTGAGACATGTGTCAATTCTGCACCATAAGGTGCTGCTACAGTCTGCTCTGCAATTCTGAATAGTCCCAGGGTCCTAATCTTTTCATGGCCTTTTGGATCCTGGTGAAGGTATATTTATCCATAGGAAATTAAAACAAATGTAATGGCTTGTTGGCTTGATCTAGAACTTGTCAGTGATTAAATAAATGGCTTGTGGGTTACCTCTGACATTCTTGTCTCTGCCACTGTCAGGCCCTGGCCTTTTCCCTCTACCTACATTCATCTGTACTCCACCCCGGGACTGTGTAAAATCCTGCTCCCTTCTCAGAGGCTTAGAGCTGCACTGTCTAACACTGCACTGAATTTTATTGTTTGTTATTTAAATGGTTTAAAACGAAAACAAAATACTTTTTAAATGTTAATTATAGGGCTGAGGGTGTAGCTCAGTGGCAGAGCTCATGCTTTGCATTATTAAGGTCTTGGATTCAATCCTTAGCACCCTTCCCATGTTGATTATGTATTGAAATTAAAAGACTTTGCCTATATCAGAATAAACAAGATTAACTTTACTTTTAAAGAATGTGGTAACTAGGAAATTTTAAATTATATTTGTAGCTTATATCTCAATTGAATAGTTGGACAGTGATGGCTCTAAAGAGTAAATTTATCTGTCATATTACTACCTTATTTTTTATAGCACTGAGGATAGAACTCAGGGCCTGTGTGTGCTACGCAAGTGTTCTGCCACCGAGCTATACCCACAGCCCTCATCATATTCCTCTGAACCTACATTTTTTTTTTTGGTACTGGGGATGGAACTCGGGTCCTTGCAAGCGGCCAAACAATGAACCTACATTTTTGATACTAGGAGACACGTAATTTATCATTTCTTCATTTTCTCAGTGTTAGGACTCTCTTCCTAGAAAGACAGGGCTGCAGTCCTTCCCCTTCAAGTGCTATTTAATAGTGCTCATTAAGCTGTTGCACAGTTACTGAATGTTCAGAGAAGAGCAAGCATTGCTCCACCTTTTGTATTCTAAATATAGTGCTTATGGATTCAGATGGTAACTTGTTTCTAACCAAATATAAAGAACAATACAGATCTTTATATTTAGTTAATCCAACTCATCTGGATTTATTAGCAAACTAATCTACATGAAATTTCTGTCAGCATTCTTCTCTCTAAGTGAAGGCCTTTTCTCCTCTGGAATGAATGCAAAGAGTGGAAAAGCTCCTTCCACATCTGTACGGGGGAGGAGATGGACTGATGTGGCATAGAGCAGCTTGGCCATATGCCTCCTCGCTTTGGCTTTTCAGACCCTATTTTCTCCTCTGGAGAGTGTGTGAGTTAGTGTGTGAAGAGCATCTATTAGTGTCTTCCAGCTCTGACCTGTGAGACTCTCCCATGGACAACTTGTGTCTGGGGCTTGGTTAACTTGCCAAAGGACTCCTGTTAACTCAACTGTCTCATGAAATCAGTCCTGCCTGTTTCTTTCTGGAGACTTCTAGGCAATCTCTGCAACCTGTCGCATGCAGTGCAAAGTTTCCAGAGACTTGGCAGGCTGCCCAGGTTTCCTCAGAAATTGGGGGATTGTGGAGCCAGTCAATTGTTTTTATACTTTGAGCTACTTATTTCCTTCCTGTACCATGGAGGGACATAAAGAGTGCCATTTGTGTACCTCAGAGGATTTAAGATTTGCAGAAACCATCATATTTCAAGATCCTTACATGCTCTTAAAAACTCATTAACTATTGTTAAGAAAGCTCAGTTTCAGAGTTTTAAGAGCCTTATTCTCCCAAAAGTCTAAATTACTTTAAGTTATGAAACAATTAACTTCTAGGTTATCAGAAATATTACAGCATCAAAGGTATTAGGTTTCCTTGATTGTTACTAAGAAACTCCTGTAGGAACTAAAGGGAGTTCAAAATGAATATACAAGATTCTAAATTTACAATCCATTCTGGAGCAAGACAAACATAAATAACTCTAAAAGAGAATTTGGGGAAATAATGTTAGGAGAGCGAATGATGTTGTAGAATTCTATTCTTAAGAATAAGAATGAAGGTACTCAAAGCCTGACAATTCTACGGATTTTTAAAAAAATCACTCCAGTGTAAGAGCACTAAAAGAAAACAGGATTGAAGATAGACCAAGGTCATAGGCTGTCTTTGCGGGTGTAGGATTGTAGCTTACCTGTAACATAAAAAGTTATGTTTCTCTTCACAGTTCCTATTTTATTGGAAGCCATACAACTGTAGATTCCAGAAATTCTAGACTCAGCCACAACCAAAGTACTTGCCGTCTGCAAAAGAAAAAAAAAAAACTTTAGCTACAACAGGACGAAGAATTCTTTGAACATCCCTACCGAGCTTCTGAGAGTTGAAATGATTCAGTTCTTTCATTCATTCAGCAAAGATAGTATTGTATGATTGGTGGTTAACAGAAAGCGCTCTCCTTGCCTAGCCCCAGCAAAAATGGAAAAATAACAGGAAAGCAAATCCTCAGGAGACCAGAGTCCATGACATCTGACTTGAAGAAGGGCTTTAGGCCTTTCTCATGCTGCTGGCCTAACAATTACAGACCTGAGACTGAGCTGCAGGACTGTACATGTCACCTACAAGGTGGGCAGTTCCATGTCAGTGAAAGGAAAGGTGAAGCCTTGGCTGTCCCTTGTTTGGGTGATTGGGAGTAGGATGGGACCTAAAACAGGAGGCTTTTTGCCATTTGGTTCCATGATGGGTGTGTTACATGAGCAAGGACAGAAGAAAAAGCTTGGCTAGGCCATTTCTTCTGTGTGCTCACGGAATGTGGCATCCAGCCCTGAATGGTCCTGAAGGAGACAGGAGGCTGAAAAACTAAGATTGTTCTGTGTGTGCATATGTGTGTATGTATAAATTACCTAATTTGTAAGTTTGTTCAATTCTTACAAAGTAAAGACAAAAATTGTGAATTAATACAACCCTGCTTCACTAGATTTTAGTGCTACTGTTTGACAACTTTGTCCTGAAGGTAGTCAAGTTCGTGTGAGCTTAAAAACACTTTCAAACTGTAATGTCTAAAGAATAAGGAAACCAAAATCTAGACAGCTCAAAGGCTCCCACTGCATTCTATTAGAGAATAAATTGTGCAATATGAGACAAACTGTTATTTACAAATTTAGCCCCATTGCAGATTCTGCATGAAAAAGCTAGTTTTTCCTACTTAAAACTACACACAAAAAGTTGATCCAGTTGCTTATAAATCTTTGTGACCTGTATTTGACGATGCAAATAACAGGCCATAGGTTGTGAAATTATAGGAGCTGTGGTGATATTTTCTGACTAATCAGGGTTCTTACCTAATGCACAATGAAATGATCAAGTGACTTATGGCTACATTTTTGCATAGGCTGAAATGTGACTGTGGACTTTCCCAGGCTGTGAATATACTCAAGTGGCTTAGTCACTGGGAAAGATCGTAACATTTCTGAGTTGCTAGTACTAGATAATTGTGGTCTCTTATCCCATATCTAATTAAGGTAGTTCTGTCTTTCAGACAAAGAGATGAAAAGTGCACTTAATTTTTTTAGTTGGCAAGCTCATTACTACAAATTCCTTCTTTTTTGTTGGAAGTATCCACTTAATTATATCTACTTGTGTATTATTGAAATTACAGGTAACAAAAATGTCTGCAAAATGTGGCATTTTTCATTCAGTCTAGCAGACATTTATTGAGTGATTAGCAAGACATTGTCCAGATACTACAAAGGAGTCAGAAACAAATATCACACAGTCCCTACCCTTAACAAATTTTAAGGCAATAGAGAATAATTTTCCAACCTGAAGATCACATGCATGTTCGTTACTTTTCAAAGAAGCAGTAATTTAAAGCCATATCACCAGTGGAGTGGAGTTTGAAAGCGAGCTCAGAAATTGCCTTTCTTATTTTGATTATTAATCTTGATAAGTGGGAAATAAAAAGGTTCTGGTAGCCATCTCCTTTAAATTAATGTACTCAGCATCGAGAGTCATGGAAGAAAGTGGTAGAGTTAGAAGAGATGCTTAGAGGTGGCAATGTGAAAGGAACTGTTTGCTGGTGACAGATGGAAAGGGCAGGAAAGATAACCAAGTGAGACTGTACTCCCTTTTGTGTCTCAAAAATCTCAGGCTTGTGCTGCAAAGCAATTTGCAATAGGTTCTGAAGCAAGGAGCTCAAATGAAGCCTCTGTGTCACATCAGCTCAAGCACTGTTTTTAAGTTCTAGTGTTTATCCCAAGGGGCCCAAGTAGAAACTTATTTCAGTTCTCTAGTTTATTGGTGCATATTAACTAAGTGGAAAGCTATTTTTGTTGGCTGGGGAATGTTTGAAAATTTGGATAGAAATTACTTGCCTCTATAAGTTGTGTTTGAGCTTCTATTAAAATGATGCTGCTTTCACTGAACTCAGCAAATGAGCACAAGAACTGGGTTTCATGACAAGAGAAAGTCAATTTACATGCACACATTTGTCATGTGTAGGTGATCTGGGAATGGCTATACATTTAGGCTCCGACAAAATTGTATATTCAGCGAATAAAGCTGAGGTACTTAGAACTGATTTGAATCGATGTCTGAGGATGAACCATGGAGGCAGGAAAACATTCAAATCTTTCCTCTTTGCCTGAATGCTGCCTTCCAAAGCAAGACACCTTCTATATAGTCAGGCCTACCTTAGTATTCTCCTCACCAGAGTTTCTAGTAAAATAGAAGTAGAAAATGATATTGATGATCATGGACATTTTGTTGTTGTTGTTGTTTTCTGGGTAACTTTATATAGCCTCTGCTATGCACCAGACAGCATGCAAAGCAATGTACATGTGTTATCTCATTTAATCCTCCCTATATCCCTATGAGATGGGTATATTAACCTATTTCACTGACGGTGAACCTATGGGACATGTGCCATAGCCAGCTGTTTGTTATCATTGAAAGCTCTAAACAGTTTGCCATCACTGCCCTACTCTATTGATGAGACTGCTGAGGTTTATAAAGGTTACCTGATTCATCCAAGATATGCAGGGCCACAGGTCAGCCTGGGCAAAACTTATGCCCAGCTGTGTCTAACTAAAGTACCTGGGTTCTGAATTTCTAAATCAAATTGATTTTTTCCATTGAAACCCTTTAAATTGAGTAACAGACCTATTGGTGAAGTTCTGCCTACTCTTTGAATTGGGTTTTTCCTTGAGAATTCCTCCTTTAATCAGCAGAGATGGGCCATAAGCTAAATGCTATCATGTATAGAAATGCTAGTTTTCTTCTTTGGTAGTATTTTACATAAGCTCCAAGCTGGTTTGCAACTGATAAAATGTATGGTGTGAAAATTTGAGTGATGAATGAAGAGGTTATAATTAAAGAAAATTTAAAAATAAGGTGAAACTTTTATTCTATGATCAACTTCACTAAAAATTATCTCATTTCTAGGTTGCTTCTGTTCTTCCAAAGATTACATTTTAAAATTATAAATTAAAACATAGTTTCATAAAATATAAGAAAATACTTGACAGTTTAAACTTTATGTGGTTAGAGAAAGGAACTCAAGCGTGAGCTGTAGGTTGGTTTTGTTTGGTTTGAACTATAAGACGACACATATCACAGTAAGTGTCAATGTATGAATGTTATGTGCTCAAGGGACAAATCTGTTTCCCAATGCTTACAACCCAAACTATCATTTCAAAAGGAAAAAAAAATAAAAATAGCATAACATTCAGAGGCCCAGATATCACTGTAATACTTTAAAACACAAAGTACCAAGGATTTGAGTTGTAACATATCTTTAAAATCACAATCATTTATTTTATAGAGCACAACAAGAGAAACTCTCAAAGATACCTACTTCTATTACTTCTATAATTATTGTTCATTTTCCACATTGAAAATAAGTGAAAGAGGACTGAGGAATAGAAAAACCCCTGAAGTGCTAAAATAAAATTAGAATACCCAAGTTCCTCTTAGTGAAAAGGTAATGGGTAACAATTCTTTCACATCTACTTAAAACTCACATTGCCCCATTACATAGGATGAACACACCAACTTACAACATTTAAAAAATTCAATTGTGGGGCTGGAGGTATAGCTCAATCTCCAGCACTATAAGAAAAGAAAAGAAAAAAAAAAGAATGATAAGCAAACTTTTGGTGAAGTTTCCAGTCCGGTGTAATTCTACATTCTTGAAGGATTCATATTTTTTGCTCCTTATTTTTACTACTTTGGAATACTTCTGTGTTGGGGGTGTCGTGTCAGGAGCCCAGGGATTTAGATATTAGAAATACATCCTTCTAGTCTATTCCCTGGATTTTTTTGTATGACTCAGAACACTCAAAGATTGTCGTCAAGTACTGAAAGCTTGAAGTTTCCAGTTCCTTCCTTCCTTCCCTTTTGCTAGGCATTAGTACTTCAATGTCATTTGAACATCACAGAACAGAATGAATGAATGGGGTGATGCATCATTCAGCCTAATTTCCAGTACTAGTTTTTAAGAAGTCTACATAGGGAACAGTGGTTTTAATTTCTGGATGTTTCTAATATAACTTGCTTTTAAGTGTTTTAGGGAGAAATAAAAATAGGTATATAACGGTCATGGAGAAATCTAAAATTAATGTAGGTCGGTACGTTAGAGCCAACTGATGGGAAAATAGAACATGAGAATGAGAACAAACTGGGGACTGTGTGGGAATTAAAACCTAAGCTATAATTCTGTGATAAGTATTAGTTCAGTCATGGATTTTTGTCATACAGTACACATACTCAAGAGGCCCTCATTTCAGTGGAAATGTTACATTAAAATCATCATGATTCTCCAGCCTTACAGAATTAATGCTATAATGTTTTTTTCTAATACAAGGTTCCTTCTACTTTCTAATTCATATCCATAAACCCAAGAATCTGGCAACTCATGTAAACTATGAACATTCCGTATGTGCGATAAAGTACTTCAGCTGATGACTCATATTTCACAATTCTGGACCAAAACTTGCCAATAAAGAAACTAAATTTGATTTTCATTTATAACCTTCCTTGAGTTAAAAAAAAAAAAAAAGGAACAAAGAAAGCAAGTCCCTGAAAGGCAATAGGTGCCTTAGTGTAAGTCCTGTGTGCCTGATGCCTAGAGGAGCACTGATGGCCTGGCTGCCTATGTGGCTGTGAATAAGGGGGATCGTCATGGTCTAAATTTGGACTTAATTTCTAAAAATGTACAGAAAAAAAGAACAGTTTCAATTGTAAAGAGCACTTCATACAGCTCAAAAATAGTGAAATTTCCATGACAGCATCCTATGAAAGTTACCTTTTTTAACACACAAAAATACAATTAGTTAATACAAAAGTAAAAGCAGTAAATTCCCCCAAATAAATTTCTGAAGAGCATGAAATCAATTTGCTCTAAAGCTAACGTGTTACTATTACACCTGCTTATATTTCACCTTTGCAATGCTGTTTAGAAAGAGTATTAAAAGTTAATTCAGTACAAGTAATTGTTTAACAATTAAAATCTTGATTGTATATGATTGCAGTCAGTTTAGGGGATTATATTAGAGGATACATGGCCGGCATTTTATTAAAGTAGTATTTTTAAAGGGCTTTCTCACCATGTTATTTCTTCTCATCATTAAAACAGGAAGCTCAGTAGGGCAAATATCATTAGTGCCATTTTGGAGGAGAGAATTCCAGGAAAGAGAAACTGACTGCAAGTGGTTTTATAGATATAAAGGGGCAGAGCTTACCCCAGGGCTCCTGAATGCGGATCAGACGGTTTAAGTCCTAACTGTGTGCAAAGGTGTATACATGAAATCTTCTTCCTAACTACAAAGTTATAAGACAGTACATTTGTTTCAGGCCCACATGAGAAAATTAGGGAAGTTCTCCTATCTCAGTCAAGTTTTGTTACTTTATTCCTACCATTTTTTTTATACATTACACATAGAATTCATTACTACTTTATGGTTCAAACTGATTAGAAATCTAGTTTTCTCATTTTTCATTTTATTTCCTATTATATGGTCTTATGGATAAGATACCAGAAGTTACTACTAAAATTATACCATAAATTCTTGTTATGAATATCTAGCAGTAAATAATCCATCTCTCAATGTGGTCAGGAAAAGGCGAAATGAATAGAGACTACTAATGACATCTTGAAATTTCCCTAGTACTCTGTGACAACTAATTTACTGCACACTGCTAATAAATTGAGACAGTCCCTCCCAATGTAATATCACCCAAACTAAACTTTAAAGTTTATAGAGTTTCCCTTATCTCTGTCATTAAATTGCTCTCTCATCAAAGGTTATACATCGTGGAATGTTTTTCAACTCCTGTTCATATGTGTTAGAGAAAAAGAGTTATAAAACCACCTACAGCTACTGCTGTAGCTATAAAAGTGTTCCTAAACCCTTGACAAGTGACTGTTGACATTATTATGTTAGCCACCGTCATTTTAATCTCTGCATTGGCTTAAGTTAGCTGTGACATCCCTTGGTTTTGAACTGGAAGACTTTTTGAGTTTCTCATTTACCCTTCTAAACTGTGTGAGTTTGGGTTAATCATCTTATCATCCCCATTTTTCTTATCTTCAAAATGGAGAAAACCACCCTGGCTTGCCAAAGGATAATGGTAATATTAGCATATGTTAAAAGGTTTTACATAATGAAAAATACAAATGTTGTTTGTTTCTTGTTAAATCCTACATAATGATGTTCCATACTTTTTAAATCTTCAAATGCAAAGAATACAGTTGTTAATAGGTAATATAGGTAAAATAACACTCAAGCAGACAATAGTGTCTATATTAACAATCCCTACTCAAAATCAAGATATGCATGTGTAAATAAATATTTCAGCAAGAGATTGATTTTTTTAAAGTATCACTATTCCTGTGTCTCATGATAGCAACTTTTAAGTGTGTTCTTTTCTAGTTCAACAGAGAAAGAGTGACTAGATTTTCAGTCCTGTGAGGCTCGCTTGGTTCACAGGGTGTCAGCTATGGCTGAAGCTCAGAAGGGTGTTAGGGTAGTAGAAAATGAAGAATAGAGGAAGAGTCACAGGAAAAACAAATGTCTGCTAGACTGGATTAGGTTGAGATCTCCTAATAGACTGTGTGTTTATATAACCCAGCTTAGGCTTTGCCTTAGCAAAGAGAGAGAAAAACATGATAACTAATGATACAGAAATATTCAGTTTTAGCCTTAAGACTTGTACTAGCTTTTGCTTGTTGGGATCCCACTTGTGTGTGAAGGTGATTCTCGGACCTGGTTATAAGCTAGAATCACATGGGAAGCTTTTATGGGTCCCCAGCTTTACCCTGGAGGTTTGGATGTAATGCCAATTGGGAGATGAATCTAATATGCAGGTAGGATTGAGAACCGTTGATGGAACAATCTGATGTTCAAGGATTCAGCTCTATCTATTCCATTCAGAACTGGGGGTCAGCTGGAGAATATACCAGTTTGAGTATTGTTAATGTATGTCCCCATGAAGACATGTCTCAGATATTGTCTTGCTTTTCCTTGAATTTTGTTTGAGCATTTGAATTGCTTCTGGTTCCAATAAACCTAAGACTGGGAGATAAGTATGTATTTTTAGAATATTCCCACACCCATATTTACAAACGATACCTTATTCTTTCCTTCTGTTGCTGCCATGCGCTGAGTGATGCTCTCAATTCTGTTGCCTACGTTGCTATTAGGATCCAGGATAAAGAACTCTTCATTTTTGGAACAAAAGTCATACCTATTAAAAAAATAGGTCATTACAATGTTGTTTTGCAGCCTGGGGTAGTAAATGGTAGTAAGTGAAAACCATTGAGTAAGTGTTCAGATTTTAAGCACAGATTTTATGTAAATCATCTTTTCTTTTGATTTTTTTTTCCTATATTCATCCTCAGAATTAAAAAATAGCAAATATGGAATAAAACCCCACAGTATGCTGCCATACATCGTTCCTGTTCTAAATATTAAAGAATGCATATATTAGAAAATTTAATGTCTAGACTTTAATCAGTTCCCAGTGGGAATAACATGCAGACATAGGGGAAAAGGAAATTATGCTAACGAATGGAAACCTTTAGAAAATAACAACATTTCACATCTATAAAAGGCTGGCTTTTACTTGGAATACTCAGTTGCACAGCTAATTTTTTCAGGGCTAATTAAGTGCATCTGGAAACAAACGTCTTGGGGTAATTACTAAATTCAATCTATTTCTTTCAGGTTTTGGGGTATCATGGAAAGCTCTTGACATTGTTAGGTCGCAAGTGTTTAATTATAAAACAGTGTGGTGATGTTTATCTTTAAGGTCTGTGAAGTCTTTCTGTATTTTAAACATTTCATCATTTTGCATTCTTACCTTCTAGACTAGAACTTTTGGTGATTATAAAGCTTGTTAATCTTGAATTGTGCATGTCTTAGGCAGATTCTGGAGACTTTTGTGCCAGGAAGAATTTTACTTCCAGAAAGAATATTAAGTGGATATTAAGTAGATAAGAGCAGTGATGATTTATGTGAAAGCGAGTGGAGAATAAATTAAGTGAGAACAGGGTTAAGATAAAAGACTTTGTGTCGGTCACAAAAAGTTTGGTTAATATTCTTCTTTGTTGCTTGAGCTGAAAATGGTTCCCAGAAAGTTAAATGTTCAGGCTGCTGGGTTAGGGTCCCTCCCTTACATGTAATGTCCTGTAACATCTTCCTTCAGAGCACTTGCCAACTTCTCAGTGTTTACTTACTGCTTCTGAAGCCTTCTGGACCAAGAGTCACAGGGGAACAGTAGCCACATCTACTTATTCACTCAGTGTCTCTAGGTAAGCAGGGTCCTAGTGTGTAATCAGCACTCCACAAACATTCGTAAACATATGCACAAGCACGAGGTACCTGATATGTTCTATTTCTAGAAAAAGTTTCATTGTTTATTATTTTCAAACTTACTGATAAGTAAGAGAACACAATGTGATAAACCACCAAATACTTATCTCCAGATTTTATGTGTGCGTGTGTGGATGTGTGTGTATTGTGATGGGGATAGAACTAAGGGCCTTGCACATTAGGCAAGTACTCTATCACCGAGGTATACCCCCATCCAGATTTCATTAATCAACATTTGCCTCATTTTCCTTACTAGCACCTATTTTTTTCACTTTTGAAGTATCTTTAAAGCAAATGCCAGACTCATATCATTTTTAGCTGTCTGCCTAAGTGGGTGTTTCTAAAACTATGCACATTTTCTAATAGAACCACAATGCTACTTTTATACCTAACAGAATTAGTAATACTTCCATGGTTTACACCTATCCCGTGTGTCAGATTTCTCCAAATGTTACAAAAATGCCTTTTTTTTGCAATTAGATTACAGTATTTAAAATTAAAAAGAATAAGGCTGACCACTCCTTAAAGAATTTCTGGAATTTCTACTAGCTATTCTTTATAATCATCAGGTAAGATAAATGAACATTTTAAGTCTTATTGACTAGCAGAAAAAACTGAACCAAAGAGATTATATACTTTCTCTTTTACTAGAAACATTTTGATAATAGTTTTAAAATCATTATATAAAAGTCATTTTGCCCTACTTTCTGTCATCAATATTCTCTGTTTGCTAGACTGTAACATCCATACCTTGCGTTACTGTTTGACTTCCCACCTTTTATATGGCCTCAGCATGTACGCGAGTATATGTAATGTGTTTGTATTTGATTTAGACATGTGTGTGTGCATTTGGGATTGTGACCTGAAAGCGAAGGCTTTAGGGTTCATTCTTTTTTCCCCAAAGCAATGACAAAGACAAGAGAGGCCTTAGTCAAAGATTGGAATTTCATATACATTATTTGGCTTTCAGAAGTACAAAGAAATATGTTAGAGTAAAACAAGTCAAGGCATTTCCCAAGGGAAACAGAGACTGCTGTCTGAGTTCACTTGGGGCTGTCGACCTCTGACATCCCTCCCCGCAACAGCCACCCTATCTGTGACTCTCAGGGCAGTTACAAACTACACAGGGCCCTGGTACAGAAACCATAGGCCCAGCTTATTGCCAGGCCCTCCAAATGAAAGGACAGATTCTGTGACTCTTTTCTAATTTAGGGCCTGTTATTTTTCCCTTTGTAATTGGAACCATAAAAATAGAACATCATTTAGGAGCCTGACTCTGTAACAGCACTTGAAAAGAGATTTAGGGGGAGGGGAGTTTGCCTAAGTCTTAAGAATACATCAAGCCCTTAAGGAAGTAGATTGTGCCATGTTTGAAGATGCAAAGATAATCACTGTGCTGGGAACCGTCTTGAGGGGGGAGGAAACTGAACAACAAGAGGAAAGCAGCGTTCACTTCTGATTTCGCACAGGAAGCCCAGAGCACCTCCTGCCAAAGCGAGATAAGAAAGCTCCCATGCACTATTCTGGACAAGGCCACTGTTATCAGCTTCAGCTCAGTACTGTCTTCTCCATGCTCCAATCCTTCATCCCTTTCCTAATGAGCTTTAGGACTCCTGCCTCCATTTGCATATAGCATGCCAAGCACAATAGCACGGAGGTATTTATAACCAGTGAAAGGAGAAAAATTGTGAGGGTAAAAGTGTACTCCATGTCATCTCTGTCAACTGCTCTGGAGTTGAAACAACTTAATTTAGGACCAGAGACTGATAAAAATAAATCAGCTGTATTCAACACAAAGCTGGGACCTGACATGCAACATGTCAATCTATTTGACTCCAACTGAATCATCTGGAGAAGTCTTGCATTTGGGCTAAGGTACTAATCGTCTTGACACATAATGGAAAAGGGCTGTTCTCCATATATGTAGATGACACTTAGAACCTACATGCTTTAATTTGGTTCTCCAGTAGTGGAAATGGATTTGCCCTGTTATTTCTACACTCCTAAATTATTTGGCTCTTCTGTGATGAAAAAGAGATAAAGGCAGTCTGAACACTCAGAAAGAGGCAAAGCCAACACAGGTCAAATCTGCTTTCCTGACGAAATTGATGGCTGCCAGAATTTGTACTCAGTTCTGGCTCACTTTAGAATCTTGCACTTAACCCTTAGGCCATATATGACATGAATCTCCATTTATTACCATTGTTTACCAAGAACATATTATTTCCAATGTTTCTCTGGGTAAAGAAAGGCTTCTGAAATAGTCACTGTACTAACACCATTACTGCAATGAGGATTTAATGTCTTTTTAAAATCCTCAAAATGGTCACTTTTCCCCATCTTATACAACCAAAACACACTGAATGTCCAGCGAGTACACATTCTGCAATTGCAGTCTGTGTTAGAGCTCATTCTGTCACACTCAACTCAGCTCCCCATTCACCTTTTCATAGCAGCACTCCCAATACAGTGCACAGTCTGCACCCAGGGTACCCTGTTATGTTCACCTGGGGTTTTTCTTAGGGCTTTCTTAAAAAAAATAATGATTTAAAAATTTTTCTTCATTCTCCCTGCCTTCTCTCCCCTTGCCCTGCCTAAAACTCAGATCCATAGTTTCTTTTCTTTAAAAGATGGATTACTATACCTGATAGAATCAGAAGGGAGAGTGGGTGAATTGTAGCCACTGGTGGTAGTTGTGTTTTATTTGAAGTGACTTATATAAGAAAATAACAGAATTGGATGACAATTTTAGAAGTGGGTGAAGAGGCCAGAATTATTCTCTGAAGAACTGGGCAGTGTGGTTCAACTCTTCATTTAGCCTTTTCAGAAACTGCCACCTGTTTACAGTGCCTGTTATGGTACTCAAGATTCCTTTTTAGTATACAATCAATTCTCATTTCGTAATTGATTTCTTGTCCGTTTAGTAACTACACCAATCCTAGAAGGTCTATTCTGCAGCCAGAGTCTTAAGATAAATAAGGTTTGGCTCTGTTTTAAGGATCCCCTCTCACCTTATGATAAAAGACATGGAAGCTGACTTTTCTTTCTGCTCTGTTCTGGCTGAAGGGAAACTGGCTGTTTTTGAGCTGCTACTGCACCAGGCCTGGGCTGGAAGCTTTACACATTCATTTTGCCTCAGCTAGTTCTCTTAGTCCCCCAGTGAAGCAGGTCTTACCGTTGCCATTTCACAAATCCTTTTACTCGTTAGGACACTGAGAACCAGAAAGATCAGATGCCTTGCTCAGGTTCACATAGCTGAGAGTAGAATCCAGACTCCTAACTCTTTCCACCATATTAGAGTCACCAGGGGACTTTGTTCCCAAAGAACCTCCCAAACCTTTTCTGTCATACTTCCCAGGGTGGAGTTCCTTGTTTCAAAGAAAATCTCTGGGGGTGCTCTGAATTCAGACTGCTACAAAGTCACCCACCAAGAGAAATTTTCATTTTCAAGAGGAATAAGATATCCTTTAGGGGAAACATGTAGGGGGAAGAGGTAGAAGAAAACTTTACTATTTTCAAAATAAATTTTGGTTGGTTTAGGTCATAAAAATGTTCTGATGCTAGTATTATAGGAACTTTCTTCCTTCTCTTGGCTGACAAATTTTATCATTTTTTTTTTTGGTACCGGGGATCGAACTTGGGACCTTGTCCTTGCGAGGTAGGCGGCAGAACCACTGAGCTAAATCCCCAGCCCAATTTTATCATTTTTTAAAGTCTCCTGACAAAAGTTTTTAAAAACACAAACTTTTTCTTTTCCTGGTAACAATTTTGTCTCCGTGATCAGTGGGCATGTTCTGAGATGAAGGTCACCTGCTTTATTACAAACTATAATTTCTTAAAGAGTGCTTCAGGGTTGAGGGGGATGGTGCCCAG